GCATCACGCAGATCCTAAGGAAGATCGATGGTTCACAAAAGAGGACTTGTCAAGACAGCTCCTCAGATCGTGGCAGAGTATGAAATAAAATTGAAGGGGAAGACACCAGCATGAAGCATCTCAGCGGACTTTCGAAGCTAAGGGGGATGGAATGCGAGGAATGAGCTCTCGCAGGGCCCTTGTCAGACATACACATGTTCTGGGCAGAGGCCCTCAGCAAGCCCAGTGCGCGCCCTAAGTGAAGGCGAGCCTGAATATTCACTAAAAACGTTGTCCATATGTGGGTACTCAGGCTGTTACAGCACGCCAGTTGGTTGAATGGAAGTGTGAGCCTTTGTAAGCTGCGTCATACAGTTAGGCCCAGGCCTTGGTAGTTGGGCCTGGCCACATACACAATGCAGGGCAGATACATCACGAAAGGGCTACGGGCCTAAGCAAAAGCAGCATTGTCGACGTACATACCCCGGGTCCTGTGCAAATGCAGCAAACGGCCCAAGTCTGGAAACTCAGGCCGTGCCCAACTGTAAAGGGCTCAGGCCCTTAACTGCAGCACTGGGCCTGGGCGCAGGCACTGGGGCCCGACCGGAAGCTGCTGGAAGCTTCCCAGCAAGGCCACATGCAGCCACACAGAGGCTGCCACTTCCATATAGGAAAGGAGGCAGCCAGGGTCTGGCATTCTGGCCCAAGCAGGCATTGTGGTCACGCTGCTGCGTTGTTACGCAATAGGCTGCATGCTGCGCTAGTGGCCAGACTGCAGGCGGGCGCTTGAGAGGTGAGAGGGGTGCTGCTGGGCAGCGGAGCGCGAGCAGCCATAGTCAGGCTGCAGGGCGTTGGGGGTAAGAGGGTGATCGGTGGTCTTCAGGAAGGAGGCGAGTGTGGGTGGTCAGGGACTGATGAAGGGAGACGAGATATGTACCTGGTGCGTGAGGGATGTCGGCTATGGTGTTGACGTCATGTACATTGGTCTTCAAAGTTGAAGTGAGCCTGTTGCGTGAATGGTGATGTAGGTAGGATAGACTGTTGCGTGAATGCTGATGTAGGTAGGATAGACAAGTAGTGTAGGCTGGGCACTGGGCGCCAGACACAGAGGAGCGACATTGAATACTGTGGTGGTGTGGCCTGAGGGCTTGCACATTGAATCATGAATTCATTGTATTGCTCTTATTTGGATGGAATCTCGGTGCAATTTGTGCTTTCTGCTTATGTACGACTACTTGGACATCAGTGTGATTTCGCAACTTGGTTTTCTGTGTATCGTATTGCGTGCACTCATTCTTGAGCCCTTTTTTATCCTTAACTCATTCTTGAGCCCTTTTTTATCCTTACTTTCCCTTCTTCGTTCTTTGTTTCTCTTTTCTTCATGTCTCTTCCTTGTGTTTATCATCTCCCCCTTTAATCTGCCTCTTTCTCACAGCGTACAAGTGGGCTGTTATGGCACATGGGGATGCGGGCAGCTCACACTCAACTTCATCAATGTGGCAAGCCTTGTATGTGAGAGGCACGGTGAAGGGGGGGTTAAAAGAAGGATGAGAAAAATGAATAGTTTCAGTGTGCCCTCTTCTTTGTTTTGTTTTTTTGTCTTTACTGTTTGTTTCGCAAAGTGCGCTCTTTTAGTTCATAGTTATGTGAAGTCTGCCGCTTCTGTGGCAGAGGGGTGTGTGGGCACTTCCTGCTCAACCACACACACGTGGGGAACCTGGCATTTTCTATTATATTGCCCGTTTATACTTCTTTTGTTTTATGGATGGTTTGTTATGGGTTGTAGATGGAACGAGAGAGAGACTTTGGGGTTTCTTGATAACACACACATACCTGAGATCTGGCTAGCATGTGGTTTACATGCCTTGTGCCGTGAGGATTATGAAGGGATAGCCCATCCAAGAGTTTGGGGTTTCTTGATAACACACACATACCTGAGATCTGGCTAGCATGCGGTTTACATGCCTTGTGCCGTGAGGATAATGAAGGGATAGCCCATGTAAGTTTTTGTTTTTGTATGTTTGATTTGTTTGATTACTGTCAATACTGCAGTCATGTGCGGCACCTTGACATGTCTTGCGGTTTCTTGATAACACACACATACCTGAGATCTGCCTAGCATGTGGTTTACATGCCTTGTGCCGTGAGGATTATGAAGGGATAGCCCATGCAAGTTTTTGTTTCTGTATGTTTGATTTGTTTGATTACTGTCAATACTGCAGTCATGTGCGGCACCTTGACATGTCTTGTCCAATTTGTAGACGGGCTGGAACAGCAATGTCGCTACAATTGTGGATGGCATGCCTCTGTGTTCCTAGCATGTGGGAGCCACGTAGCCTGTGCCACCCGTTTACGTGGTCTCATGCGACGCAGCAGCTGCAACCGTGAGAATTGGATGCGGTGCTTCCACAGTCCACACCCGAAGGGGTCCTGTCCCGTCTGCAGCGGTGGCCACTCACCATAGGCAATGGCGGCTGCTCAGTTCAAAATTTTATGCAACCCAAACACTTACTTGCCTCATGTGCCATTCTAGACTAGTCTGCTCCAGCGGTTAGTATTTAGAACTCTGTGAGAACTCCACCTTCTATTTCCTTCCCCCCCTCCTCTCGTGTAACTACTAGTAAATGCATACGAATGACCATCATTAAGAGAACAGACAAAATATAAGCCGAAGATCTGAGGCAAAACGAACAGGAATATACCTCCGCCTTTACTCTGCCTCCTTTCATAGTGTGCAAGTGGGCCGTTATGGCACACAGTGATTTGGGCAGCGCGAGGTCAACCACAATCAGCAGCTTTGTGCATGAGAGGCCCAGTAAAAGGGGAGTTGCAAGAACAAGTCAAAGGAGTACCCCAAAAGCCAAAGTGAACGCAGTTAAGAAAGGAATTTAAACACTTCTATTATGCTCCGTGTAGCTTGCTATAGAGGTAAAACTGTTTCATTGTTGGATTGTCTCAAGACAAGTGTTTTCATTGTCTGCAAAGCTGCTTCGGTTTTGGATCTACTCATCTGGGTGGAATAGGGGCTGTTGTGGTGAACATTCAAAACACACATGAACACCGGCGAAACTAGATAGTGGTACCACTAGTGAAGAAGCGGTAACAAGGTGGGCAGTAGCCACGTAGGCGGTAGAGATAGGAAAATAGAAGGATAGAAGGCAGCCTGAGGAACTGCCACAGACGCCCCCCGCGCCCAGCGCTTCCAGAGTTTGACCTGCTGCGTGACTGGGTGCTGCTAGTAAGCCTCCCGACCTGCAGGCCAACCCCCTAGGAAAGGCCAAGGCTTGGGGGAAGGTGTGCTCTGTAGCAGTCTCCCCTTGCCAGGTGTGTAGAACCACAAGGTGTGGGGTGTTTCCCTTTTTTCGCCTCTTCTCCCCCCGTCCTCTCTGTTGGATGTAAAGAAGCTTGCTGGTGATGAGCAACCGGATTGTTGCCCCCCAGAATAGAAGGGGCTTTGTTTTTCTTTCAAAAAAAGAAAAGAAACTCCGACGAAACATAGTGTCATGGTCCCTTGTTGGTTGTCCTCTTCTGTCTCTCTGCCTATGGTTCAGTGGGCAGTTCTTCATATAGTATATATATCTGTTTGACGATGTAGATATGATCGCCCTCACCCGTTTTATACACCGTCTGACTTCCTTGCAATTGCCCTTGAGCTTGATGCTGATCTTCCCCGCCTACAGACAGAGGATTGTAATTATACCAGGAAAAGAGGCTTTACCGTGCTGTCCTACAACTAGCAATGAGGGACCGTCAACTTGAACTTCACAATTGTCAAGCAGGCAGGTGGTTTAATCCTCCGTCCCAGGTCTCTGCCCGCATTGTACATGGACCTGGCCGTTACATGCCCATTGTACATGCCTCTGATCACTGGGAGCTGTGGGACAATGGCATAGTGGTCCAGGCCACGACTGATGTTACTGATTTCTTACATAATGCTGCTGTTTTCTTGCCACACCAAACCGTCCGCAATCTCTGTTAGGAATTGAAGATCATTCCTCTGGCTCCCTGCTGCAACAGACGATGTATCAACACTGTGCGACCTTCTCCTTTGCACAACTACAAACACGTACACTCGGCTGTAGCCACCATCGTCTCTGTCTCAATCACTACGATAACATGGTTTCTGTGGCTGCAGACACCTTCTGCATCCGGACACGACATGTCCATTTTGTGGCCATGGGGATTATACTGAATGCATGGTCTTTTGTGGTTCCCATTCTTCCTTCATGTTGGCCTGCAATCAACATGCCGTTTGTCGGGAGTGTATGTTGGGCATGCTTAATGCCAGCCGTTGTGACAATTGTTGAACAGAGAATGCTCATCTAGGTCTTCCATGTGTCCATCCACCTCAACTTTACAATGTATGTCCTTTCCGTCGTCAAGGATGGACTGAGCCTTTTCTTAATTTTGCTTTCATTCTTTCGTTTCTCTCAAGAAATTTGGACCATTTCTCGATTATGCGTGTAATCCTTGCACAGGGGCCGCGCTGATCTTCTCTGTTATCTTTCCAATTTTACCGGATGTCCGAAGGACACCCTTTGTTTTCATTCTTCAATTCCACACTCCTTACTTTCCCTTACTTTTCCCGTGCCTTCCTTTGCTTTGTCTTCTCTACATCTCTCTTCTCTGTGTTTATCCCCTCCCCCTTTACTCTGCCTCTTTCTAACAGCGTGCTAGTGGGCTGTTCGCGCTCAACTTCATCAACGTGGCGAGCCTTTTCTGAGAGAGGCACAGTCAAGGGGGAGTTAAAGAATGGTTTCAGTGTGCTCTTCACGTTTGTCTTGTGTAGTTTTATGATTTGTTTCCAAAGTGCTCTCTTTTTGTTTATAGACATGTGACAATATATCATAGAGAACTGTCCTGTGAACCGTGGGCCGGAGACAGAGAAGAGGACAATATAAATGATATGTATGCATAACAGAGGCATGCTTTTCAATCCAGATTGCATTGGATTGTGGGATTATGGATTGACACAGTCGTTGATTCACTATTCTTGCATTGCTTCAAAATTTTGTTTTCAGCACAATCCATCGAAAGCGGCATGGGACTGGGGTATTTGTTGGGGCCATGCAGTGAGTACAGACTTGGTGCATTGGGAGCATCGTCCACTTGCCTTGACTCCAACACCTGGGACGTATGATCAAGATGGTATATTCTCTGGATGCTGTGTAAATAATGAAGGAGTGCCTACCATCTTGTACACTGGGGTTCAGACTACAAAGAGGGGTGAAAATGTGAAAGTCACATCATACAATGAGGTCCAAGGCATTGGGTTTTCAGAAGTACAATGCATCGCCACGTTTGGAGCTGATGGGAAGATTCAGAAACATGCGGCGAATCCAGTCATTAATGCCCCTCCTCCAGGTCTGCAGGTATGTAGATTGATTGCAGCTGTGTGTACTTGTTTTCCATAGGCCTTCTCCGCTGCAGGGGAAGGTGCTCAGAGCTCAGAAATTACTTATGCTGGGTGGGTTTGCAGTTAGTAACTTATCATGTCAGTATGCGATTTCTGTCAGAGTTACATATTTGTACAACCTTGGAGGAAGATGGATGTGTATGCATGCATTGGCATCAGGCTGGTGATTGAATAAATCCTTTGCGTTTCCTTTACGTTCTTTACAGTCCTTTTCTTTTCGTTCATTATGTCAAATTTGTCTACCATGTCTTTTGAAGCTTATTTCAACATCAGTTCTTTTTTTGCCTCGCTCAGAGTAAAAGATGCTTGAAGGAAGTCATGTCTGTGTTGACGGCATGTTGTTTCCAACTGAATGAATCCTTTCGGTCTCTCTCTCTTTGTTCTTCTTCAACTTGTTACTTGCAATGAACCTCTCAGTTCACCACCAATGGCTGCACACAATCACACACCATGCACGAATGAGTTCACACTAAGTTCACACTGGAGGCCAGAGAAACAAAGACCAGGTAAGCGCAGCTTTGGAGTTCCAACAAATTATCATACAAGCAATTAAGAGTTTCAGTCAGAGGCGCTCTACAGCGCAAACCCAAGTAACCAGTATCTCCACTCAGGTAAGTATCTCTCCCGGTGCTCTTCTCTCTTCTCTCTCGGTCTTCTCTCTGTCTACTACCTCCCTGTGTCTTCTCTCGCTACTTGCATGCACTCAGACACTCTGTATACACCCACTGCTAACTCTACTAACCCTACTAACTTCTGGCACTGGCGCAGCCATGGCTGCCTTCCCTCTGCCAGCGCTGGACAGCTATTGCTGCTCCCTCTCTCTCCCTCTATTAGCGCAGTTCCCTTGCTCAGCGCTTCACCCCTCGCTCAGCGCTTCACCCCTCACAATAGCGCACAAGCGCACCAGCACTTCCACACTCCATGTGAATGAGCAATCTGCCGAATGAGGAGGCTGGCCAGTCCTTATATTGTCTTGGACCGAACTTCAACTCGTGCCAGCCTCTGCCTCTTGGGGCTCGACTTGGTTCTGGTACCACATCCCCACGGTCTGTTTGCTTCGGAATGTCAGGGCCTGGTACCTTTCCCGAATTTCACTGGTGTGCTGCTGCTTGGGCCTGTGAGTCACGACTTTTGGATTATGGCACATGGCTTTTGATTGTGGTTTGTGACTCCTGCCTCCGGGACACGACTTTTGCCTGTGGAAGTGTCTTTTGCCTGTGAGATGTGACTTTTCAATATGGCTTTTCATTATGAGGTGTGATTTTTGCCCCTGGTATGTGACTGTTTGCCGGATGCCTGTTGGACTTGACTGCTAAGGTACCCGACTGTGACTTTTCTGAAACTGACCGTCTTGGCTTTTCTTGGCCCAGGCCTCTGACCCTGAAACTCGAATTTGGGGTCTGAATCGTGGATGGCCTTTCATACTTCAAAATTCTGTTTCCTAGTGGATGCAATTCGGACAAGACTGTGTGACATAGAGGATGCAAAATATCTTCAAAGCTCTTTCAATGCAGGGTCAATGACTGCCTTCTTTCCAGAAATAGATTGATGACTAGGACTGGTGTATTCAAGCAGAAAGTACTCTCGATTTGAAGAGGCCCTAACGTAGAGCCCGGCCTATAAGGTAGTCTCGATTTGATACGGTGAGGCAGTGATAACGCTCGTGCATTTGGAATATTGGAGGCCCTGTGTCAAGAGGGCACGCCAGGAAGGCTATGTGGTGACATAGGGATGTACGCTGGATGATGAGAGCTTGCTGACGTGGCATTTAAGCCGAGGTGGAACTGCATTATATTGTGGGTTGTGCCGAGGCATCGACGGTTCATCATAAAATGCACGTCAGGTTACTGGTGAGACATCTGTGGTTGGGGGCAGCATTATGAGGTACGTTGCTCCTTGCCTTATCTAACCTCTTCATTGCGTCTAAACGTGAGGAAGTGAGTCTTGGTCCCTAGAGTCCTCTCATTGTGAGGTGCCATGAGCGCTAACCTTGAGAGTCACCATTCTTCCTGGGAGCATGCTGGTGGGAGATGGGTGTTGCCTCTGAAGGGCCCTGGGCGAAGCACTTGGGTCATGGTCATGATGCCAATCCACTGGGAGTAGAGCACGCATGCTTCGCTGCTGAGTCCTTTGGTCTGCTTTGCTGCGCTGTAGAGGTCGTGTTGGGCAGGCCACCCCTATGAGGGAGAGACGAGTACCGAACCGTCTATAAAGAGACTCCGGCGGTGATACACGACTCGCGTTGTACGCGAGTATAAAAATAGTGGTGGACGGGGCTGGCCAGTTCTGCATTGACTTGAGGCACAGGGGTGGGCCGAATGCACACCTTTAGACATGGTGCTCAGCCTGAGCTCTTGGGACGTCGACATTAAGTGACACTCAAGAAGGATTGAGGGGGAGGGAGGATTCCAGTAACTGCTTGATTCTCAGTTATTGTTCTATTTTCATTCAGCATGCATTCCAGCAAATGATTTTATTTTTATTTTTGATTAGTTAGTTGTTCCAGACTTTGCTGACAATTGACAGAGCTGCAGGTAGGGTAGTGATTATTCTTTGCGACATTGCTATCTGTTGTAGACTAGTCAAAATATGAGTAGAATTGTTTGCAATCTGTTTTAGACCAGTCAAAGTAGGAGTAGAATTGTTTGTAGGGGTCTGAGCTTCGTCTGTTGTTACCGCTTGACTACTTTCTGACATATCTGGACTGGACAATTATTTTATTTTATTTATTTCTGTGTACGGATCCGGGCCGGCCGGCCGACCAGCGCCTGCCCGGGGGAGGTCCCGGGCGGCCTGGCCAGGCGGGCGGCCCGGTTGGGGGCCGGGCCCCCCCAGCACACCTTGCTGGCGGGGGGTTTCCGACCCCAAATCGGCCAGATTATGTCTCCCCAGGGCCTACCGGGTCCGACCACGCCCAGAAAACGGCGCGTCGGGCCCGTGAGGCCTGTTTTTTTTTTTTAATTTGTGACGGCCCTCCAGCCGTCGATCATCCATGATCGACGGCCAGAGGGCCGTTTGTTTTTTGGAGGGAAAACCCAGGCCCCGTTTGAACAACGACTGGCTTGGGCAGCCAGCATTGGCTGTTGAAACAGGGCCTCCCTCCAGCCGCCTGCGTTCGTCCTCGACTCGCCCTCGCTCCTTGTCGCCATCGCCTGGGAGCTGCGCTCGCCAGTCGCCAGCGTCGTGGAGTCGGCCGTCACTCGTCCCCCTCTCTTCTTCTTCTTCTTCTTCTTCTTCTTCTTCTTCTTCTTCTTCTTCTTCTCTCCTCCTCCTCCTCTTCGGACTATCTTTTTTTTCTTCTTTATTTTTGTTCCATTCGTCAGCGATAGGTCGCGAGATAAACGACAGGTATGGAAAAAAAAAGAAAACTGCTCCGCTCGTCATCTTCTTCTTCTTCTTCTTCTTCTTCTTCTTCTTCTTCTTCTTCTTCTTCTCTCCTCCTCCTCCTCATCATCATCATCTTCTTCTCCTTCCTCTTCTCTCCTCGTCCTCCTCTTCCGCCCTTCATCTTCTTCTTCTTCTTATTCTTATTCTTGTAGGACCGCCGCCACACCCCGCCATCATACCCTACCGCCCTGCCGCCGCCGCCATTTTCTTCTTCTTCTTCTTCTTCTTCTTCTTCTTCTTCTTCTTCTTCTTCTTCTCTCCTCCTCCGCCTCCCCCTCATCTGCTTCTCCTTCCTCTTCTCTCCTCCTCTCCTCCTCCGCCCATCTTCTTCTTGATGCAGACATCGCAGAGCCCCCACCCCAGTATGTACTTGGTATCACATATGCAGCAAACAGCAGGCAACATAAATGCAGAGTCCCCAACACCCAGAAACCCACCCGGGCCCCGCCCGGCCGGGCAGGGCCGGCCAGGCGGCGTCCGTACTCAGATTTATTTTAAGCATGGTAACCGACCGGATGTCTGGACCGGTTTCCAGACACCCCCAAACATTATGTAGGGGTCCGGTGTCCGGTCCTGGACGTTCGGAACCGGGCCCCCCAACGAAAAATCAGAAAAAAAAAGGGGCTGCCAACGACATTTTTCGGGTCCTCGGCGGCCGTGGAAAAATACTGGGCCGATATTTGTGTCTTTTCGCCCTATCAGACATCAGTCGAAGGCCGGACCCACCACAGTCTGTGCAGACTCAGGTGGGGTGGCGGGAGGCAGGGCCAGCACTTTCAGACTGGCCGTTTTTGAATCTCGCAGGCGTGCTGTTCGGAAGCCGCCAGCTGCTGCCCGTTACGTCCCCCCTGCAGCCCCGCAGCCATCCACGAGGAAGCCGCCATCGCCAATGAAACAGCCAGCCACCGCCAATGTCCAAGAAGCAGCCAGCCGCCACCAACGTCCAGCCCTCGCCGACGAACCAGCCAGCCGCTGCCAACGTCCAAGAAGCAGGTCAGTCTCTCTCTCTCTCTCTCTCTCTCTCTCTCTCTCTCTCTCTCTCTCTCTCTCTCTCTCTCTCTCTCTCTCT